GTAGTAGTAGAAGTTTTTCCAGACAGTTGTTGTCTGTCTTCCATTATTGTATTGCACTGAGTATTATACTTGATTGTAAAAGCAATTAGCCTCCAGGCATGATTTTGCAATAAACTCTCTATTATATTATTTACTCACCAACATTGGGATAATCACATGGGTAATCAACATGACGTAGCGGCGTAAGGCCTGCAGCTCCTGTAAACATCAGACAAATATCTATTAGTAAGTATTCAACTATGTTATTTGTTGGATGTATGTTTTTCCCAAATGAACCCTGGAAGATAGCCTTTTGGCTACTTAGTGTATCAAAATTTGAGGTGACGTATCAAAATTTGTGGGCTCGTGTGGCGCAGTTGGTAGCGCGTTCTGCTCACACCCAAGAGGTTGCTGGTTGGAATCCTGCCCATGTCACCGATCTTGTGCCCTTGGGAATTAGGCACTTTACACGACTTTCCTCACTTCACTCAGGTGGAAATGAGTACCTAGCTTCGGTTGGGGACGTCCCTCGGATAGGACGTTAAATGGAGGTCCCGTGTTTGGGAGAGCCACACCCCACGCATCGCACGTTAAAGTTTTTAGTATGATCCACACAATAATGGCAACGGTTTTTTTAACAGTTTGATGGCCATTGGTTTTGGAACAGTTTTTAGTATGATCCACACATTTTATGATCACACTTCCCAAATACTGAGTGGTGCAGGTAGAATTTGTCTGGTGCAGGCCATTTTCAGTGTTACCTGCAGCAGCACATGTATAATGCAGAATAGAAGGATTTCCAGCCCTGATTGTAATGTAAGGCAAGCTGACTGTCTTTAGATGATATTAAAATAATGAATGAAATACCTTTATTGTACATTCATGCCACAACGGGCTACTGGTACAGGTCAAGACTTAACAGACACATAACAAACGTATATAGAAAATTGGAGACAAAAGATGCACTACTTGACTTAGACATACACACATAAGGAACATACAACGGTATTATACTAGGCTAATACAAAGTGTTCTAGTTACTGAGCTAATATAGAGAGGTCAACTTCTTCTTGCTTTTTTGTACAGTGGAAAATGTGGGAGCAGATCATGTTTGTGATATAGGGTTTGTCTAAAAATAAAATAAAGCAGCAAAAATTAAATGAAGGTCAACTTACATTGTACATAACCCATGGTGGGGGGAGGTTCCCTGGTCCTGGTGGCCAAGGTGGCACGTTTGCTAAGAGAAAGAGAATAAATGAGTTAGTTTATAATGAACGAATCATTTCATTTATTGATGATGCCACAATGCATTACAAGTGGGAGCCAGGCAGCCTGAAGGCTGGTGGCGGCTGCCACTGGTACATACAACACAACACAGGACAAGTCAATACAATATACAGGACCTAACAACAAGTTACGAATATCCAAATAGCAAAACATAACAGTGCATTATACAATATCGAAGACACATCATCATCAAATTAATATAGTAATCATAATAATATCTATAGTCAAAAGAGAAGAGGAAAGATGGAACGGTTGGAAAGTCTGATAGGTTAAAAATTGTTCAAAAGTTCTGATCGTGCTGTTGCAACATGTACATGTACCAAAACTGCAGTTCACCATGCAAGCTAGATAAGAAGAATAGATATAAGATCAGGTATTAGATAAGAAAGCCAGAGGGGGGAGGGGGTGTGTGATCAGATCCAGCGAGAAACTGTCATAATTTTGACTCCCGAACATCTGCTTGGAGATTTGGAACCCACTTGATTTTTAAGGCTAGTTACCGTAGGCCATGTTGATTTGATTATATGGATGACATCCCTCTGGGCACCCCAATACTGACAGGAGCGTGCGAAAAAAAAAGTTGCCAAAAAAGTTTCCTTTATTATGAAATCTACGTGGGCATAAAGGTTGAACAATATGACGAAAGACACAGTTTATGGTGTGGCGAATAAAAATAGACTCTTCATTTTCATTTCTTCAGATTTTCTTTTCCTGAATGGATTTCGACATTCTATGACATCAGTATCGTTTCCAATACTTTTTTGCAACATACGACATATATACGCTCATTTTGTACCATTTACAGTATGCATGGTCGAAAACTTTCCTCTTTTTTAAACGAACGAAAAGTCATGCGCGCGCGGATGTCATCCATATACGTAACTCGTCTTAGCGTCAATCGGGCGGTTTTCTTTGCCGGTTATGCCGATCATTTGCATAAAGCGCGGGAAATTCAAACCACACATGCGGCATTTCAAATTTAACGGTCGCGGTGCCAACAACCTGTTGGATTCTCCTGTCGATACGACCTAAAACGGGCAACAAAATCCACTCAAATTCACGTTCAGAAAACCAGTTTTCACGGTTACAAAGAGGAAGGTGGGTAGATACGGTTAAACGAAGTTGGTGGGAAAATAACGTTTCTCCACTGGCGGCAACTGTAGCAGTAAACTGTGAATATTGTCGGCAACAGCAAAAACATAATTTGGCGACGCAAAATGAAGCATCTTTGTTTAATGCAAGGTGGCTCGTAAGTTACTTCATTTTACCGTCGGTCTATTCTCTCGACCGAGAAAGGTTGTGCGTTCTGCGTCGGATTTTCTTTTCGATCTGCGTAGCTCAAACGGAGAGGCGTAGTATTGCGGCGTATTAATTCATATGCAAGAACATGAAGTAAATAGCTACGTAGCAAGTTACTTCATGTTCGTTTTCCCTTGACCAGAAAGAGATGCGAACGATTTGGTTGCGTGCATTATAAAATACATCAAGAACACGACGGATATAGAAGCTATCAAGAGCTATCCGCCCGCCTGAGATTTAAAAAAAAAAACGAAACTGGAAATCCGAAAAAAAGATCGTTTACGGTAAAAACATGTCCAGCAAGGAATCAACTTCCCGACGAAACAGTGCACCACAACAGCTTTCAAAGACGAACATTTGCAGTTATCAAGGCGCTACCAGGGGCTATCCAGCCGCCATTAAGCTCCTCACCACAGAGATTTGCCCGGCTACAGTTCAATTTGGCGATCAGAAGTTCTGGCTTACTCCTGATTGTTCAGGTAAAATTCAAAAATGATATATAAAGACACCGATAGGCGATCATATACAAGTCATCTTGAACGAACAAAGTGCCAGAAAGGTTAGTGCAGTTAGAGTAAAAACGAACACATCCATTTTCTGATTTGCCGGTATATAACTTGATGACGCAACCACAGGTAAGCCACGAATATTGAAGTTAAAAAGTTGTTGATTTCTGCCGACAGAAGTTGTTCCTTACTGCAGGAAGATCAGGAATCGTGCTTAGCAAACAGTAGACAAGTAATTACTGTTGTCCTCACCATGGTTGGCGGCCATAACGAACGAGAAATCGGAGAACTGAGAAAGCGATTTCGACGAGATGATCAGCACCAGCGGGTTCCGTACGGGGCGCGGACGATCAGTACAGTGGACCGGTCGGGTCCACGGTCTGGTGAGAGAATGATAAAATTGCGCGTTGGGGATTCACCCAGGCAACTGCGCAGGCCCGGCGATGACGATTTTTGTTTAGTGGTAGCCATATGCAAATTATTGGAAGCCATGTGTAAATTATTGGAAGCCATATGTAAATTTATTGGCGGGCAAATATCCCAATTAACCACCACCTGCTTTTTGCCTGTCAGCTGCCGGCTGTGACGTCGTGCTGATCAGCTTTATTCAGATAAACAAAACATACGAAACAAATTAAACTAGAATAGTTTCCTTTGTTCGTATGATACCAACTGCAAAATAATGTTAGCCGCACAAGATTATATATTAGAAACAAAAAGATTCTAACTGTATGTGTCTTCTGGGATGGGAGGTTTGTTACTCACGCGAGGTCTAAGTATTTTAATGTCTTGTAAAATATTTTTCTTTCATTGTAAAAGTGACTGCGAGAATATAAGTTGTACCTAACTTGAGTTCGCAGTCACTTAGTCCATGTCTTTTCTTTTGTAATCATCGTGTTTCTGAATAAAAAATTATAAAAAAAAACTAGAATATACAGCTGCACATACACTGACAAATCAGTACTTGTGGTAGCAATCGGTGTTATTACAAAACAAGGTACAAAGGTTCCCATTTTTTGTTGTGCTTACATATTTTGAACTTGCATATTTTGAACTTGCAAGAACCCTCATAATAATTATTAAGACGTCATGACAAGCCTCCGTTGCTGGCAGCCGTATACATAATGAAACAGCAAGCCTACCATGCAGCCAATTATTTTTCAAAATTTGTCTCCTGTATAATAAAAGACATGCGGGCTGCTTCGTGGTATTAAAGCAACATCTTGCGATCTTTGAGGAAACAGCACACTGTTAATGCTCATTAACATAGCCTGACTAAATCTGCGCTCCTAGCGGCCGGCCCAGAGTTACACCAGCCGCCCCCAGAACTCCGGGCCGGCCGCTAGGAGCGCAGATTTAGTCAGGCTATCATTAACATAATTTATGTAATTATCATAACTGATGTACAACCAAGGAAAGGCAATTATAGACATGGTTTCGATTACTGGACGTTGGATTAGAGCGGTCCGTCTATGCTCTATGTAGAATTAAAACAGCCGATTACGCTCTACGCAAGACTCAGAGGGCATGCGGGCCCCCATTAAAGGCAGCCAATGCGATTTCAGGGCAGCAAAACTAAAAAATATTCAGACTAAGGCAATCTTTGTGACATTGACACATACTGCTTCACATCAGCACACTTAAATCGGCATTTCATATTTTGACTGAGAAACAAGCCTTTATTTTCTGGGCGGTACCCTAGAAATCAGCCCAGGGCCCTTCCAGTAACCATTTTCCGTCAGAATTTTCTCCGTGAGGGTCAATGTACACCGGGATAGTGTGGTTTCAACTCAGCATGTACATAAATGACTAAAATATTGGCTTTGAAAAATCAGAAGTCGCACGTGTTTTTGTTGTGATCTTGAACCGGAAGTGACGCGCGGAGGCATTTGGCAACATTCTCAACCTTTCACCTTTCAGGCATGCGCACTAGCGGAACGCCGAAGGAGTGCCGTGTGTGTGTGTTTTTTCTTGGAAAAATATTTCGCCCAACTTGAACGTAAAAACTGGAGCTCAAGATGCCTGTTGTGGACGGGAACGTGGACAGCGAGGGAGAGGACATGGATCAGAGTACCCCAGACAGCGACAAGAGTAACTCTGAAGAGTCTGCGACGTCGTCGGCGTCCGAAGAAGACGACGAGAGTTCAGGTATCTTTTGGGGGGTGGTTTTAGGTTTTAGTTCTGGCGGGACCAGGCCGACAACGACACAGTCTGGGAAATCTGAACTAGAGCCGCACTCTTGTATGGAGCATCTGTGGTGCATACAGCCTTGTCTGATAAGCCTAGCCTCTACCAGGCTTCGGGTGGCGGCTGGAAAGGGTAGAAATCGGCCAAAATTAGAGAGATAGCATGCCAGGGGTGTTGGTGCGGCAAACTGTACTCTATAGCGGAGATACATGCAACTCCCCTGGCATGTTATCTCTCTATAATTGTCCGATTTCTACTCTTTCCAACCGCCTCCCGAAGCCTGTTAGAGGCTATGAGAAGCCCCACTTTGCTACTTGAGTTGTAAACCAACAGGTTTATGGCGTGGATAAGTAATTTCTTCTGTAAACCTGTTTTTTTTTGTGGGTGAGTAACCTTTAACGTTAAATTGTTTTGATTTTCAAGCACTGTGTATTCGAAAAAGACTCAACAACGTGCAACTTGGCGCCCTTGTGTTTCAAAATAATTTGTTCCTTTTCAAAGTACATTTAACAAGACTTAAGAAGCAAAAAAAAATGTAGCCAGCAAAGGAGGTGAGTACTCTGCTCACTGCTCAGATGTCCCCAAAAGAGTGAAAATCAAGTATCAGAGGAACCAACATGCACAGATCGAGAGTGAAAACCGGTTGTTAAACACTAACAGGCTCAGCCGCTGAATAAAAGTTCAAAACAGAAACTATGCAGCTCCAGATGTCTTAGACTCTTACTGAGGGACGACACAACTGAGGTGCGCTAGAGGTCCGTTATAGTAAAGGCCCAGGAGTGTCTTTCTGTTTCTACTCTCCTAATTCTTATACTTGAGCTAATATACAAGTTGTTAACCATTAGTTGAAAGAGCAACAGATGTAAAACCTCCTGTGTTTCAGCCGGGCTTTTCTTTTGCTTTGCAGAACTCAATGAGGGTCCCTACCCCATAATTTAGGCAGGAATTCAAACTGATGCCCTGTAGCCTCACATTTCCTATGTGGAACCAGCATAATTTCAAGTTGTGAACCATTAGTCGGAAGAGCAACAGATGTAAAACCTCCTGTGTTTCAGCCGGGCTTTTCTTCTGCTTTGCAGAGCTGGACGAGGAGGACTGTGACCGGAGGCGGACGGAGTGCATGGCAGACATGGCCGACCTGGAGAGGCAGTTCACCGACCTCAAGGAGCAGTGAGTCCCACTAGATGTCACTTATTTTTCCCCGTTTGGAGCAGAATTACGGCAAAATGTCACGGAAATGATAGTTTTCCGTAATTTGGACCCAAAGGGGACGCTTTTCATGTTTACCAAAGGAAAACATATTGTTTTTGCTCAGTTTCCTCTTCTTCTTCCGTTCCAAACACTGTCTTTCAAAATTGCAGGGAAGCTTGGGACGCTGAAAAACCGAGGCGAAAATGCAACATCACACAGCCAGCATCACACAGCAATAAGATATGCCAAAAAACAGTAACTCATGCTTTTGGAATTTTCCAAAATCATATCCAGTTGCTTAAGTAACTGTTGTTTTGGTGTATCTGTTGCCAATAGTAGTTTCTGTATTGTCCAGTCCGCTGCAGCAGCAGATGCAAATATTATTGTTAAACTTGCAATGTTTATTTCCAGGTTGTACAGAGAACGGATGAGCCAGATTGAGGCAAAGTTAGAAGAGGCGAAGATGGGCTGTGCACCAGAGTACGTGGAGCCGCTCACACAGCTCCGGATCAACATGCAGACTCGCACGGAAGTCGCAGGTACAGTGTGGAAACATCTTGAAAGTTCATCTGTGTTGGTAGAAGTCATTATGCAGCAAGATTAAACTGTAATTTCCAACACAAGGAATTGGACTCACCCAAATTTTCGACTGTACAACTCCAGTCTTTGTCAAGGAATGAACAATCCACCGCTTCCGTGACGTCACACAGATAAAACACGTGACTCTGTGAGCAGTGGATCATAGGTTGCAGAAAGTCTGTGGCGCCCCCCGTCTCTGCTCACGGAGTCACATGTTTTATCTGCGTGACGTCACGGAAGCGGTGGGTTGCTCATTCCTTGAAAAAGACTGGAGTTGTACAGTCAAAAATTTGGGTGAGTCCAATTTCTTGTGTTGGAAATTACAGTTTAATCTTGCTGCATAGTGTGGAAACATGTTTGTTTCTCATGACCAGTAAACTGCCTTTAGGCGTAACACACTAATTTTGTACATGTAAGTACAATCTGTGTGAGACCGGACTGTAAGGCTTGAACCACTCACATTGGGAAGGACCCCTACTCTTTTTCAAAAGGTGCACTGGGTTCTTGAACGTGCGTGGGGTGTGGCTCTCCCCAAACATTGGACCTCCATGTCTTATCCAAGGGCATTTGTAGCTTTGTTTTCTGTCTGTTGTGTAAAAATGAGCATTTTTTGGTGGGTGTTACCATTACCCGGTATAGGCAATGTGCATGCATTACCAACTCACTTCACCTGTTGTGTGTCCAGGTATTGTAAGAGAACTGAAGATACAGAACATCAGAAACCAGTATGAAGCAGAGCTACAGGCAACAAGACAACACTTTGAGGTAAGATGTTAGCCATTCATTCAACATTCAACAGTAAACTTTTATTGTGTTTTTCACAGGTGGACAAAATTAATTTTCTGTGACTTAGAGAACTGCCATGCTTGCCAGATTGGTAACACAGTGAAATAACCACCCTTTTTTTACAGGAATATCAAATGTAGGTATCACTTTTGGGGGCACTGAAATATATGTGCCTATACAACTCAAAAAATGAACTTGTCCAATAGATGATTTTGATTTCAAAAGTTTCTCATTCCACCAGAAATCTTGTAATTCAAAATGTTTCGTTTCTCTTCCAGTTCCAGAATGTTTCGAGTTAAGATTTTGTAATTGAAACTTGTTGCACCTTATTTCTTGGTTTAGAGCGAAAAGTTGCTTTTGGTGGATGAGATGAGAAATGAGATTGAGGAAAAGATCCGGAGACTGGAAGAGGACAGGCACAGCGCAGATCTATCTACAGGTCAGTAGTATATCTAGTTTTGGTTTGGGACATCAGAATGGTAACATGTGCATCTGTATCTACATCTGAATACCGGGTAACTACATTTCCATAGTTTCATCAGGTTCAGGGTTTTTTTTCTAGAAAAAGTTGGCATGAGGTAGCAGATTGCGAGGGAGCGAGGAGGAATTTTTTTATGAGACTGACACAGTTTATAATGCTAGAATGCATTTTTGTTTTTTCGTCAATATTGGAAAAAACTCATTATGAGAAAGACTAAATGGTGTGCAAGTAGCCACTTAAGGTTCAGTCTGAAAGTTGACATGAGGGAGCTGGCTGGTTGCATGAGGGAGCAGCTCCCTTATTCGGTTATTCCCGTTTAGAAAAACCCCTGAGTTTGGTAAGTCAATTCAACATAGTTTTCTTAGCTCCACAACCATACAACAAAACATACTTTTGCCCTGCTCATGTTCTGATGATCTGTCTCAACAGACAACAGGGCAAGACAGAGAGGTCCCTGGAACGTCCGTGCAGTAACATATATGGTCATGGAACTAAGGCAACTGTGTTAACTTAAAATGGTATAACTGCAGTTCGACGTAACACACCAGCTATAGTTCATGTTATGCACATGAAGATGTAAGTGTTGACCAGCTTGACCTTGATCTTGATCTTGATACTGATCTTGATACTGTACTGCGTAACACCCCTCATTTGGGGTCAAACACGCAGGGGGGGGTGGGGGTGCGCAGCGCTCTAAATACTCCTCAGGTGTAGCGGAACAGCTTCCTTAAACTTGTCGGCCTCTGGTATTTCTGGTAGGGCCTGCGGAAGCTCGTTTCAGTCTCTAACAGTCCTTGGGAAATACGAATACCCATAGCAATCCTTGTGGAATGCTAGTGTCTTGTAGGAACTCGGGTTTGCGTGCCGCGATTTGCGCGGTGCGGACGAAAGCTGAGTAGCAACCGGTAGGGCAATATTATTTTGTCTGGCTTTGTGTAAAATAGTTAATCTACTGGCTGTCCTTCTGTTCTGTAAAGTGTCCCACCCTAGGTCAGAAACAAGCTTAGTTGTGCTAACATTAGGCCACACCGACTTAATTTTATGGATGACATCCGCGCGCGCATTGATTTTCGCCTGTCGCCCTCAAAAAAAAAAAGATCACCTCCACCGAGGCTCTGGCCTGGCTCTAGGCCTGGGTAGTCCATGCTAGTCAGCGACAAAACGGAGCCGAGCACCCAAGCTATCGAATTCGAAGCTCCACGACTCAAGAACTCAGTACATAAGTATAGTACCGATTCATAAATGCCACAAAAAGCCAGCATGTGCCGGCTTGTCGTATACGTCACTATGTACTGTCAGGAATTCACTATACCAGCTTTGTATTCCTGTGATTCAGTAGCATTTTTATTTTTGGTCGGAATTTTTTTTTATTCGCCCGCGCGCACTAGTTTGGGGGTCTTCAGAGGTTGTCATCCATAAAATTAAATCGGTGTGGCCTTAGTGGAATATGAATGACAACGTATTGTTCTTCTCTTTTTACAGACCTGTGGGCGGAGTCAGAACAAGTCAAGCGCAGCCGGAGAAAAACAGACCCGCTGCATCCAAAGAAGAAAAAGACAGTCACCATTTCTGATATCCTTTTCGGCCAAATGCTCATTACTTTCTTCTTTATACATGTACAATTACAAATACTAGAACAATTTTTGATATCTAGTACTAAAGATGTTTTTTAGTATACTGGACTGGTTCAGAGCTGCTCCGAACATTTCGGTTCAGGTATGAAAAAAAGCAAAACTTGGTAATTCGGTGCTGGACCTACAAAAATACGAGTACTCATGTCTCTTGTCACCTTCCCCAAGCTTGAAAGTTGTTCGCAGTTGTTTTCTAAAAAGGTACCCTAAGTTTTATCTAGCATCAACAACTTTTCATAGTGTCTAACTTTTAAAGTTTTTTCTCCTTGACGTCCACACGTCCATTCTTGGTCTATCAGCTGAAGGAAAATGATATCCTGGAAGACTGGACAGCTATCAGAAAGGTGAGTCCTGAGTTGAAGTAGCTGTCATCTCCCTCTTATAAATAAATATCATCTCTCTCTTAAGCTTACATCTAAAGTGCAAGCAGCCTCTCAGATGTGTCCCAACATGTTGGCACTGCTCTAAATCAAATTCAAGTGCAACTAGGTGGTGTCTTGTGCTGGCTGTGTTAAAGAATCTGTTAATGCTGAGCTTTGAAAACATGTACAACTTGAGAGGTTCGTCTCACCATCTGCTGGTTTGATGGTAATTGCTGGTTATGGTAACATTTTCCAGAACATTCATCTGACAGTAATAAGCACAATATGGGGGGGGGCAGATTTTTGCTGCAACAACAGCTGGCTTATAAAGCCAGAACAGCTATACATGTGTTACCATAATCATGAACAGTCTGGTAGCAACTGTAGTGTCTATATGTGCAAGTGTGCAGCAAGAATTTTTGAAATCCCAGTATAAATAAGAATGTTAAAATTACACCAGTAAAAGTAGCATACCTGCCACTGTAACTTGTACAGTCAGGGCTCGAACTTAACTTTTTTCCCTACTGTCCCAGAATTGTCCCAAAAGTAATTTCCAACTGTCCCGAAATGTGAATGGACTGTCCCAACCTGGTTTTCATGAATTATGTATAAAACTATAACAACAACTGTAGAGCTTAGTCAGAGTGTAGTATTGCTGTATAAGCCAATTGACAATGAAATTAACTCAAATCCAACTCAAATTCAAACTTGTCCAGTTTACAGGAGTATCCCCAGAACGCGCAGCGCGTTGCAGGGGGAGGTCTATCGGGGGAAGCTATTGCATTTTGTCTTTTCTGAACACAAAATCATCTCCGGCAACTTCAGTTCTACATTTTCTGTACAACTGCAGACTTGTAAAGCTGGAGAAATGTTAAAGATCTGTACTTAATTCTATAATATCCTCTTCATGTTCGAAAAAAATTGTATTATCACACTTAGTTTTGAAAAAAATTGGGCATAGGTTCCCCGGATGACCCCTAACCGGGGGCCAACGGTGCTTCCACAAGTTCAAAAAATACATGATACAAACAGTACATGTATTTACTACCTGGAACTTGGAGCAAGTATTCCAAAGGTGTTACCGATATAACCAAAGCTAGTGACCCAGTAATATTTCCTTAAACCATTTTCAAAAAAAAAAATCACATATTGACACAACTAAACAAATAAAAATGTGATTATGTCTATAAACTCATACTCAAAAACAATTATTGAGAGACACTCGGATCGCGGTATTAATTATCTCCCCCAATGTATCAAGTATCAATGTAAAACTAAAAGTCCTTCACAGCATCCAACCACACATTCATAGAAACAATAACATATTATATTCTGATAATAGAAACCAATAAATTCGTAAATTTTCACAGTTTCGTTTGCAAATTAACGTTCTAAAATATTGAGTGAACTTTTATTTCTGTTGTTGCCGAAAAAATTTTTTTTATGCGTTTGAAGTATCATTTTAGCTCGTTGTAATATCTTGTACGTTTGGATGCTATCTAATGACCTTTCAGGTCATTTTTGTTGTGAAAAGCGTCGGCCATTTTTTCTGTCTTTCAAATGGATTTCTAGCTGTTTTTTCGGACAAATGTCAACCGTTTAAAACATTTTACGGCCTCAAAAACCCATATAATGAGGAAATCAAGTTATAGTTGTTATTTTCATGCGTAACATTTCTTCTGGGGGTGGATTATTTCTCCGTCGAGCCGCCAAAAACTAGCGTAGCTCGCGCGGCCCGATCCGTGCGATTAGCGGCGTAGCGGCTCGATCCATGTCGCCCGGCGGAAGAAAATTGGAATGACGAGCACATTTATCGGGGAAATATTGGAATAAAATCGCTAATTTTGAAATTTATCGCAGAAATATTGGAATAAAATCCTTAACTTTCGGCAGGCTTTTCAGGAGCCGAAAGCCGGGTTGCGCGCCCGATAAACGCATGAAGGGCAGACATTCTAACTTAGTTGATTATTTTTCTATTGTCCCAAAAGTGTCCCAAAATGATTTTTCAGGTGTCCCGGTCTAAATTTTAGTGGCCAGGGGACATCGGGACATCGTTAAGTTCGAGCCCTGACAGTAATATGTTTGGCAATGCTGCATGCTACTTTGGTGCTGGCTTTCAAAGTTGAAAGATGATACTATCAGTACTAGTAGTACCGACTGAACCTCACCCCATCCTTTGTCACTTCTACATGTAGAACTCTCGTCAGCCGACCGCCATACCCCAGAAAAAGGTCTGTAAAAAAAAACTAAAACTGGACATCACAAGCAGATTCAGATCAATGTTTGTTATGATTGAAAAAGAAAAAGAATGAAAAACAAATGAAAAAGATTAAAGAGAATTGTACTGAAAATGAAACATATATCTACCAGGAGTATAGCTAACATTTTCTAGAGTACATGGATCTGCTTGTGTGATTCCGTAAAAACATGGCTGGGGTGTTTTTTATTTAATGTTGCTGTAAGAATGTTGCAACACTTTAAGCCTGAAAAGATTGAATTCATAGGGTGTGCAACTTGTGCCCAACATGCTAAATAAAAACACAGGTTCCTGTCTTTTCTGATATGGAGTAAATATATATGAAAAAAAAAAAGAAAATGGCAGGTAGCATTTTAGGCCATTGCAACACTTGCTATGCTGCTTGCCTTATACCCCAACACAGCCAGTCGTCAGTGTCTTGTTAATAGTTGTCAACTCTCCTGAATGTTGTCAACTTGCTTATAAAACTGCCTTTCTGACAACGCTCTAGTGTCATTGACGAAAGATGGTGGATGCTACTTCAAATGTCTTACAGTTTACAAAATTACCATATCCAGTTGCTCGAGTAACTGTTTTTTGTCGTATCTTATTGCCTGGATGTCTAACGTTCGCCCACGTGTCCTGAAACAGGTTCATCTTGAAAACCAGTTCTTGAAAATCAGCGGTACACCCACGCATTTTGCACAGTCAAGCGTCAAGTTTAAAACATTGACCAGCACCAAGTCAGTACAATGATGTTGTCCGGGAGATGAGGTTCTGTGTTTTTTATCCCATGTTTATGCAGATGACGGTAGCGAGAAGAAGATTGCCTGCCGGCGGCCACTCCCACCGACGAGAGAACGGTAAGTCAGGACCATCCCTGATCAATCATCTTGTACTCGTTGTTAGGTAGGGATAGGCTTCTCTTAAGTGTGGCTGTCAGAACTACTACTACTAGTAGGTACGTCTTTCAGAAATCGATAGCATTTTTCTCCAAGTAGATTCTTTACTCCAAAACAGAGGTTTTCCTTTTGTAAGATTTATCTCGGGGAAAAGTCACCCTGCAGCCATTCTTAACACAAGTCTGTACTGCTGTATACATCTGCTTGTTGTGTGCATAAAGCTTGTTCTTGCCATTGCATGTGAACAAAAAGAGGGCTTCGTAAGTGCATGAGTTGCAGATTTTTTTCTGCTTTGGTTCTTGCTACAGGTATGGGGGATCGTATGGACTACTAACATGCCCTCCCTCCGTAGGAAAGGTAAGGCATATTCCAGCAGTGCTTGGTTCCAAAACGGCTCATTGTGTGAAGTTGAAATGTGAAGCAACAAATGATGACACCAGGTCTTCCTCAGTAGACTGACCTCAGTGAGGCTTGCCACATGGTGTCTTTGATAGGGCTCGAAATTAATTTTTGGGAATAGGTGTACTGGTGCACCCAACCTAAAAAATTGGGTGCACAAAATTTTCTGTGGGTGCACCATATAAGATAAGATAAGATAATGTCAGCGAAGACTAAGTATGTTTTGTTTCTTAACAAAAAAAGTCAAGGGTCTGTGACCTGATTAAGACATGAAATCATTTGAAAATATTGTGTAAAAATTGCCAGCAGGACAAGGGTTAAGAAAAGTACTACAAGAATGATTTTACTTTTTTTACACTTAGGTGTTGAGAATATGCTGAATACTAGTACTACTATAAATTTAACATCTTGACATATACGTAAACCTACAAAAAACATGCACCCACAGAAAAAAATTGGGTGCACAGCTCCAAATCTGGGTGCACTAAGGTGCACATGCACCCAGTATTTTCGAGCCCTGTTTGAAGTGTTAACACTGGGTCAAAGGTATCTGGTACTGGTAGACAATGTTGGGCCCCGTCGCAGTTGAGTGAAGGGTGATGGGCCCTGATGTAAATAGCCTCTTTCACCCCTCACCACTTCAAAGAAGCCACGTGACAAGCCTCACTGGGTCGGTCTACTGAGGAAGACCAGAGTGACTGGTTGAAAGCTCTAGGTGAACAACCTTTTTGTGTTGGATCAAAAGTTTTCGCTTTAAACTGTAACTACCAACACAGATGAACTTTCGTGATACTGTCATGTTTTATTTACTGGGGTTAACCTTCAGCAAGTCAGAGCGAAACTTCCAAATGTGTCCAAATAATCCTAACCAAATAATTGAAGTGCTTTTCTGTGATATAATGATAAAAAGCTGAACATTGTTTCATTGGCTTTTTGTTAACTGACCAAATCATGCTTTTACCTGATATATATATGTGTATTGCCAGCATAATATGTACTTGTAACTAACCTAGAAATTGTTATGGTTTATCAGCAGTCTGTTTCAGTAGCTATGTACATGTATGTAGAATCATGGTAGAATTACACTCATCACAATGTTAGATATTACCAGTATATTTTCTCCCAAAGGAAATGTGAAAATACGGTATTTACAGAGCTGATAAAAAGTTTGGAGTGTGTTTATATTCCTTGTCAGTAAATCTGCTTGGAGATCTGTTCTACTGTACCTCAAAATTGTTTCACTCATATTAAAACTATTAAAAAAAACCTTTTCCCTCCTAAAACCATCAAAAATATTTACAGTACCTAAAAGCAAGGACATTGTAGAGGACCCAGGGTTCTGGCCATGCCAGCTTGAATTTTTTTCAGTCAACCCAGGTTCACGATTGGAGGGAAGTGCTCGCAATGTACGGAGCAAATTTTGGATTTTCAAGCCTTTAAAAATGAAATTTGCCACATTTTCAAAGGCAAATCGTGGGAATGAGAGTGGTTGGTGGTGGTCTTTGGACGTACATGTATTTCTATTTTTCCCACAATTTTTCTCTATTTTGTCCATCAAGGTTGACGTATTGGTTAAAACTTTTTCTATCACAATCTGCAAAGTTCCTGCAATTGATGGAAAATCGGGTGCTGGCTAGAGCCCTGATATGACCTATATAACGTTCATAATGACTCTCTACTACTTTAGTGGTCTGTAACCCTTTTTTTATACTCTGCAAGTTGAAGATGCAATGTTGTGACAGATGATGTTTGTTTCAGCAGCAGTGGGGAAGGGAAGACAACCCGGCAAGCGGAAGACAACCCATTGACGTCACCGACATCATTTCTGTCATCAATTCCTGTTGGAGCAGCATGTCAGCAGAACGTACTGCACCTGTGCAAAACCAGTAATGTATTGTACATAGCATTTCAGCAGAACGTCTCATATAAGGTCGTATTCGCGTATATAAGGTTTAACCCCGTCTGTAGTTTCCAAATGTTGGAAAGTTATCGTCTGCAACAGGCAAAATTCTGAATCAACGTTGACCAACGAAAACCATCAAAAATCAGGGTTTTGCGCAGGCGCAGTATGTTCTGCCGACATGCTTGTTAGAGCAAGATATTTCTGCAGGCTAGTCCATTTTTTAATGTTTAGGAGGGATGGAATATTTGTATCATGCGTGTAACAACAAGATTTGGGAGAGCATTACGGCAAAACATTGACAAGAGAAACTGAGATGGTATATTGATGTAAAGGTATTGTGTACTTGCCAGTTAACTAGGAAAAAACGAAACATTTGGAAAATAAAATTAAGCACACACCATGCAGTGTTTACTTCACTGATTTATTTAATGGAATAGTTCCATGTGTTAGGTTTGTCAAGCATGCCAACAGAACATATTGCACTGGCACGAAACCCGCCATGTACTGTGCATAGCACTTCGGCAGAACATCTCATGTATGGTTGTGTTCACGTATATAAGGTTAACATCCCATCTAGTTTCCAACTGTTATGTCGGAAAAGATATCGTCTGCAACAGACAAAATTCTGTTGACCAAAAATCAAGCGAAAACTGTGAAAAATGGGGGTTTCAGGTAGAAGATATTCTGTCAATTCTTCATCATGGGTACCTCATCTGTGGTCATCTGGTGTGGATGGTTGTCATAATGTATCATCATGAAAGTGAAAAAGAAAATATCATCGAAACTGTAAACTTAGACAAGGGAGGTAATTACTATTATGATAGAGACAGGAAAAAGTTTGTATCTGGCATTTTGTGGTTACTTCATAGTTTTCTTTGTAAGTGAACCTCTGTGATTTTCAGTATATTTAAGGCCACACCAATTTAATTTGTTGGTTCTCAGATTCACCTCTTCATTTTTTTTCTGATTTGCAAAAAAAAAAAAAAAGATTCTGGTTCTGAATCAACTAAAAATGCTCATATTTTGCCCCCAACAGTTGAGGAAAGTCCTTTTCTTCTTAGTTCCTACAGTTTGTCCATCTATCAATGCAGTGGTTTGATTAAAAGCTCAAAATTCATTGTTGAAATATTAACCCAGCCTTTTGTGTTGACTTCATGGCTCCTATCGTAGCATTTGGATGCCTAGACCTGTTTTTATTTTTTTTCACCCTGTCGCTTCATATTTTTTCTGAAAAAAATCCGAGAACCGACAAATTAAATTGGTGTGGCCTAAGTTTTGCAAATGCTGTCCTGCAAAATTATTACCAAAATGTCTATAGACATCATCTGTTGGGGCTATGAATTGGTTCAACCGTAGATATATTTTTAGTGGCCTGGGTTTTATAAAAATTTGGTACACTCAACTTTTCCATTCACTACTAGCAACTGTTGGTAGCAGCATGAAAGTTCATCTGAGTTGGTAAATTACATTATGAAAAACTTAAACTGTTCTCCAACTCAAAATTTGACTCACCAGAAATTTTCGACTGAATCACTCAGTCTTCCTCAGCAATCTGACCCAAATGCTGTGGACACGTGATTTTTCCCACATACATCAGGGCACTTCAACCATCGCTCAACCGGGACGGGGGGCGATATCGACTTCAGACAACCTTTGACCCTTTGCTGACGTCACACGTGGGAAAAATCACGTGTCCACAGCATTTGGGTCAGATAGCTGAGGAAGACTGAGTGATTCAGTCGAAAATTTCTGGTGAGTCAAATTTTGAGTTGGAGAACAGTTTAAGTTTTTCATAACTGTTGGTAGCCTTCACAAGACTGCATTAGTATTTTAATATGTACAAAGATTAAACCTTCTTGATATGTGAAGTTGTGAACTCAGCTGGAAAGAGACAGAAAAACCACGCCAAAATGAGTATTTAGTTAGAAGGTCAATTTTGACGGGACATATCTCGTCTTCAAATACTTTTGGAATAGTTGATGTCGCGGGGACACATAAACCAGCAGCCTTATTTGACGTATCGTGACCATACTACGACTTATTGTACGGAGCATTCTAAGTACTCAATCCGGCGCATCACACAGGTAACTTAAAAGCCATGTCCCTCCAAAATGTGACCACGCGTCTTGAACTGTCTTGGCCTGATAGCATATATGCATGTGCTGTGTATAATGTGTTTCCACTGTGTGTGTCAGAGCCCTGTAACGGCTGAACCATATGAAACTGTGTCATGTACAAAAGAAGATGTAATAAAGTACTTATGGAACAGCACAACCGTTCTTTTGTCATTACTTCAAGTAGATGTCATATAATCTCCAAGCAGATATTTCAGCGGGCGCAAGACAGTATTAACTTGGCCAGACAGTATCCATTTCCCAGACAATGCCTTCCTGGCAAATACACATGTAGATACTGTCTGGCCATTTTTGTAGGTAGCTCTTGTGCTAGGGAAGAAGTGACGTGAGTTTGGCCCCCCTAGCGGCTTACTCTGGAACTGCAGGGCCATCTGTCTGAAAATATTCAAAAGCGGATAACTCAAGAACCGGTTGACTGATTTTTGGTATGCAGGTAGTAGGTAGACCAAACTCTCCTGGCATGCTATCTCTCTATTTGGCCCATTTCTACTCTTTACAGTCACATCCCGAAGCCTGGTAGAGGCTACGCCTTTGCCATGTCAACTAAACTGGAATAAAACTTCAAGTTTCAATTTTTGCATCGCTAAAGTGCAAATATAAGTGCATGTTATGCTAGACGTCGATCACATGTTTAATCAAGGCCAACAGGACATTTTTTTTCTGATGATCCTTTTCTTAATTAACATTAAATAGCACACTGTAGTAATCTCCGAGCAGACCATACGGTGGCAAGGCAGTGTCCATTAGCCTTTGGTGGCCGTACAAACTCCTCTGGCTAATGGATACTGTCATACCACCGAAAGGGATCTGCTTGGAGAATGCACTGTAGCCATTTGGGTTTGGGGTTATTTTTGGCATGTTTTTAGGCTTTTTTTATCGGGGTTTCTTTTTTGCACTGGAAGACCAATGATGATTAAGCACCACCAATTGTATTTTAATTTTCATTCAGACCTATGTTCCAAGCAGAAGTCTTTCAGGGCCTGTATGCCCTTTTACATCAGGCGTAATCATGCAGTGTGCTATCTAATGTTAAGGTTGATTGAAATATTATTATAATTAGAACTACAGTCTAATGTTGCCTTTCCTCAGTGTCCCTTCCTTTATACTCTACTTGCACCGTTTCTGTTTCACTCACTTCTCACTCAATCTCACTCACTCACCCACCCACTCACTCTCACTCACTCGCTCACTCACTGACTGACTCACTCACTCACTCTCACTCACTTCCCACCCTGCTATATAACCTATAGTAAACATTTGTCAACCAAAAATAACAAAGACAAGGTTGTTTAAACTTGGGAAGAGATTTTTCTTTATTTGAAAAGTTGATACATACAACAGAACATTAATACTGACACAGTGAGGCCTTGCACAACTGTGCACCCAAGTGCCAGGCCATTTCTTAACATTTAACAATCATATGACAATTGTGCAAAATTAGTACATGTAGTTAGTATACTGGTCTTTGTGTACATATTCACACAAAGAACATTACTGGTCTTTGTGTATGTATACAAAACATATTCACACAAAGAACATTTAACAGATTGGCAAATATAATAATAAAGGTTTCTAACACATTGTATGTGTATTATTGTGCAGATTGAAAAAGCACATAATTGTTCTTATTGAATGCATACAAAGCATTATTTACACCAAGGACATTTAACACTGGAATGTAGTATGTACACTGTATACACTCAGGCACATGTGCCAAGATCTAAACATATTATGTAAGACATGATGGTTCGTCTTCTTCAGATGATTCAGAATCTTCTTATTGTCTTCGTCAGAAGGACTATTAAATTGTCTCGCCGGAGTGTGGGGAACTGCGGATTTTGCGATATAACTCTGGAAGGCATGATTCGACGTCCATGATTTTTGGCAGGCATATTACCGCTGTTGAGGCCGAAGTCAAGTACAAGTTTCGGCTTCGTGGGGGGTCCGTGCGTCACGTTAGTGCACCTTTTGTGTTTGTGGCTTGTTAGCAAGATAACTCAAGTATTTGTAAAATGTTGATTATAATTCTTGGTGTGGTGCTTACTATTGTCGGGACCAAGGTCAAGTTCGTTACTGAGCTTCGTGGGGGGTTTCGTTGTGACTACAGGGGGCATTTTGTTAATTTTTCTTGTGAGCAGGATAACTTTTGTATGTGTGGATGGAAGTTAATGAAATTTGATAGGCATATTACTGTCGTGGTCTCCAAGATTGAGTTCAAAGATGAGAGTCGTGGAGGTCGTTATGTCCCCGTAATAGGACCTTTTGTGTTTAGAAATCCCACCTACATCTGCTTGGAGACAGCCGACAGCTGGATATAGCCGGGGAACCCCATAATGGGATGGGATCAAATGACGTTACATTGAGGGATTGTACTATAACTTCAGCAGGGGGAGGATAGGTTGGACATATGTCAGGTTATTTTCTACGGCCACACCAAGTAATTGCTATGGATGACGTCCACTGGAGACCTTAAATCTAATTACCTTAAATTTAATGCAAGCGCGCAATAAAAACACAAAGGGCCGAAAAACGAGATGCCTAGATTTGGAATATACTAACTGTAGAAGTACAAATGTTAGGACACAAAGAACACAAGAAACAAGTCTTCTATTTGTCATAAAGACAAATTAACAAAACAGCAGTAGTCACCCTGTTCTGATTCTTTCCTTTATAACATCTTCTCTTATTATATTTTGCGGCGCTGTCGTGACACTTTCAACACAGTAAGAATTTCTTAAATGTTTTTTTCCAGTAACAGTCCAAACTCAAATAACGTAGGGGGGGGGCTAACATGGGTGACGACGCATCTGTATAATCTGCGGCAAACCGTTTCAGGGTGTTCTGTACCATAAAAATAGTACAGAGATTCTTTTGTTCTTTAGACATGAGATCTCCGGCCTCTAGTTTACACATCCTCTTGTTTACACATATGTACATGTCAATATATAATATTATGTAATATTATTTTACAATATATACAATGTAATGCGGTACAGTGAGCCGTACTGCTAAGATCTAAACATGAAGTCATATTTGTTCTTAATAATCTTGGCCAAATACAATTTGGATTGTACATTGATTGACTGTACACATCAGTGAAGCATCAGTTCCAGGTCACATGGAAAAATGATCATGTGTCATCATCTATAAACATGATGTTATACATAAGGAAATATAAAATGACTGCCATAATCTCAGAAAATTACCAGACATTAGTACATTGTGCCATCATCCAAGCAAAAGTAATGGGTGAGTGTAAAAATAGATTTTGACCATTTTACCATTGTTCAAGGAAATTTCCCCCCAAAAAAGGAAAAATTATAATATAACTAGAATTCCGAGATCTCATACCTCCATGAAATATGATCTTGATATGTAAATGTAAATTTCTTCTTTAATTGTTCAAATGACCTCTGCATTAACATGATATATGCATCGTGATGTATGTTAACTTCTGATTAACTTACAGATGTCCCAAGTATGACATTCTCATCATTCACCATTACGAAATCATAGAATTTTCACATTAATTATGAAAATTAGGTCATCATTTGCATAATTAGTATCTGTTGAAGTTCCGCCTGCCATAGGTTACATAGTATAATGTAAAACACTGTCATTATAGAATTTCCTCATTAATTATGCAAATAAAGTCCTCATTTGCATAATTTACATTTAATTATGTACATCTCTCTCTCAGCTACCTACACACCAAAAATAATGAAAATATGTTGTTCCTGTCTGGACTTATTGGCTTTTAAACATTTCGCCAGAAAGTGCCCTGCAGTTCCAGAACAAGCCGCTAGGGGGCCTTCCCAAGCACGAGAGCTACCTTCCATCAAAATTTCATGACCCTAGCATGTCCAGATCGCGAGATATCAAAACCGGAAGTTGCGCTGCAGTACCAAGGGAAGCCACTAGGGGGACCAAAATCTCATCATTTCCAGTTTTCGTCACACCCTACCAACACACCAAGTATGAAACCAATCCATCCAGGCGTTCTTGAGTTATCTTGTTGACCAACAGACAGACGGACGGACGGACGGACAGATAAACGCAACTGAAAATATAACCTCCATGACACATTTCATGGAGGTAATTATGTAACAATTATGCAAATATGGATGTAATTTGTATAATTTATGGGAAAATTCTATAAATCAGCTGCATTCCATCATAGGACTATTATGAAGCTTGTGACATTGGTAATTCTGCCGCTTACTGGGAAGTATGAGCTAGCTGTTTCTAACTGAACAGCCAGACCGAATAGCTACCTGGACATGTGAGACCTAGATGCTACCTGGACAGGTGAGACCTAGTTGCTACCTGGAACAGGTGAGCCCGAGTTGCTACTCGGACAGGTGTGCAGGTAAATATAATGCTCCAAGCAGATCCTACAGTGACAAGACTATCCATTGACTGTGTCCATCACTATGGTTACAGCTCTGGCCAATGGATACTGTATTTCCACCGTAGTATCTGCTTGGAGATTACAGGTAGGCAGACCGCTAGTTGCTACCTGGACAGGACAGGTGTGCAATACCTCACCTCACCTGTTGATCCACAGTCGTGACGTCAACCCCGCGAAAACTTCACGTGACCTTTGCCCCGACCACGTGCTGACTCAGGAATACTAGTATTGAAAAACAAAATGGCGACGGAAAACTCAAAGTGACGAAAACTTTTTCTCACGAAACTTCCAACTTTTCGGCGGGCTGTCTACGAAGCGAAAACACCAGCAAGATGAGCGAGAGGTTGACGAGTGATCTTTCTATTGACTATATTGACTCGTGGTTTAGCCTGGACAAGCCGCTGCCCCGTATGAACTCCGTGCCTCGGTCGAAACTCGGCGGGAAGGACTTGGACGCGGCTACGGGCGGCCCGGCGGAGCCAGAGGCGCCCATGATACCCAGATACAAGAAGTATGAAACTGTTATTCTCTTTAACCTCTACCAGGCATCGGGAGGCAGCTGGAAAGAGTAGAAATTTGTCAAATAGAGAGAGCAAACTACTCTTGCAGACCAACTCCCTCAGCATGTTGTCCCTCTATATTTTGGCCAAATTAATTCTTCTCTTTCCAACCGCCTCCCGAAGCCTGGTATTCTCAAGCAACAACTCTGTGTATAATATTTTTAGTTAGCCTTCACCAGGCATTCCTACGAATTCATAGAATTCGGCACATAAAGGGGAAATAGTTGGCCAGAAGAGCTAAGAGTAAGTCCGCGGGAGGGTTGCTGACAAAAGTCTTTCTGAAACTCCCCTTGCCATACTACTACTAAGTTAGCTTGGCTAAGTTTTACTGTTTTTGTACCGCTTTGTTAGTCCGGTGGAGGCTAGTATAATTTCTCCGTTTATTTAGCCACCGTTGCAGATTAGTTTCGACATACATAATCTGTTTAACGTCTTTTAGTAATCTGCAGTGAAACTTTTTAGATGATCGAAACAAACAAACAAAATTGGGCGAGTAAGTTGTTCACACTCTCTCCTGAATTCATGAATAATTTTCGAAGTGAATGCCCCCTTTTGTTAGTGTGAAAAAAAAGGCAGTGGATGGAGCACACAAAAGACCTCTTGTGACCTCTTATGTTGACGTCCTTTGAAAGTGCCTTCACAGCATTTGGTGATAATTTGTTATTTTTTTGGTGATTTACGATAAGACGATGCCACATGTGGCACATAATGAAACAGCAATAATTTGACACCAGATGTTTGTTGTCTCTAGGAGCAGTTTATTTCTTACTATGCCTTACCATGGCCTTACTGCCTGATTTTGATAAAGTACAGTGTTTTGATTGAGGTTAGATTAATAAATATCCTTTAGTTTGCCTAAAAAAAACACATGGTTTCAAAATACTAGTAGTTTCTGCAACAAGATGCTGTAGAAAACTGTAGATGCTGTTTTGAGAAACATCTGTGTGTGGTCTGAGTTATGTGAACAGTAAAAGTAGAACCACGGCCACACCCCACACTCCACACAGTGGCCCACACTCCACACGGAAGGTACAAACTCTGGCTAATGGATACTGTCTTGCCAGTTGCCACCGAAAGGGATCTGCTTGGAGATTAGGTGTCCTGTCTATCACAAGTTAGCCTCCTGTGCAGGCCTCTTTAACGCATTCTTTTGCCGGCCATCCTACAACCAGCCGCCCATAGAAGGTTTGTACCAGGCCATGGAGCCTGGTTTGTGTTCGGCACCTGCATGTCTCTAGTGTCCCTGATGAAAGGCAGTTTCCAAAATCATATCCAGTTGCTTTAGTGATTTTTTTTTGTGGATTATCAGTATCTTGTTACCTGGATGTCTAACCTCCACCAACGTAATGGCCCAAACAAACAAACAATCATCACATTTCAGGGAGCCGAGGACAAACAACCCGCGGCAGACCCAGTACGCCCAGCAGTACCAGCGGAGGGAGATGGAGATGTTTCAGGTTTGCATTACTTTATTATGTCATTGTTACTCCGTGAAGGAGGTCAGGACCTCCGGACGGAGTGTTGTAATCGGCTGATTTTTCATGTTCGCAGTCAAAACACTGGGTTCTCTTCGTGTAATCGGCACGCAATTTTATACGCCGTCTGCGGGCATGCCCGTGTTGATGCACGAATGTGTATTTTTGCCGTTGCTGCTTTCGCGGTCAATGTAATATCGCAGACGCACCCCTACAATTACGAGGCGAATTGGAACGGTCCAGAAAAACGCGTTGTTTGGAATAGCGGGGGGGGGGGTAAAAGTTCATGCAGATACGGGGTGGTTTTTATAAGTGGTTCCAGATGTTTTTGCCCATGGTTAAGAGATGCCAAGTTTTTTGGAAGATGTTCGCAGCCAAAACGCATTCTGCCGTACGTCGCATATCTGTGTAATTTCGCATGTGGTGTTGCATTATGTCCGGGATGATGCACGTCTTTTTATTTTTACCGTAGCTGTTTTGATATTGGAGTAAATGGTTATTTTCGAAACATCCCTACTTTTACAATCCTGTGGAATAGACCGTAGGTTTAGGCAGTTGTCTGGTAGCAGAGGTACTGTAAGCAGATATCCTGGTTATCTGGCCGGCGGTAGTAACACTCGCGGTGCTTACCGCCACTGTTGCAGGAATTTGGCTTGTTCCAGGCGCGCTTAATTAGGTACAGGCACCGTAAGACGGTGGGGCTGTCTTTGTTACTAGACACGACCATGATAGTCCGATCTTTATGTGAATGCAATGATTGTGTGTGTGTAATTAAAATGAAGTTAGAACTTGAAGCACAGTATCTTTACACGCCCTGGGAGCAGTAATGGATTTAGCTCTTTGTATGTTTTATGCTTGTGACGCGCCCTCATTGTATTAACCCACGCTCCTCCGCAGCGTCCGCTAGCGCGCTATAATTAAATCCACATCTGGGCGCGCGGCGGGGTCCCCAGAGCAACACAGTGCGGAAGCATTAGCGTGTATTTGTGTCCTGGGGCCGAGAACGCATTTTGCGCAAAGCATGCTGGGTAGCAGAGTGAACTGTCCTGGGGACGAGAGTTTGTGGCGCGGGCGGGCGGAGAATGCCAAAACTCCCTCCGTGGCTAAGTTCCTTCCGCGACTAACTCCCTTCTGGGCAAATGTAGAGGGATAACGGTACACCCTCATAGCGTCACCAAATGAGGTACTTTGTAAAGGTCCGTTTCATTTGGTATATATTACCATTGTGACAGCATTTTATACCCCAAAATAGGAATCTTGCGTCTTGTTTTAGGTCCCGATAGTAGAAAGAATGCAGTGTACATGTATTCAGATGGCCGCCGTGTAACGTTACGTACTAGCGAGCGCGCACGACAATACCGCCAGAGTAGAGTAGGTTATCCTAACCCTTTAGATAGCGCAAAGAAAACAAAAACGACAGATTTGCATTAAAGAAAGTTTATTTTCCATAGCCTGGGCTAAGCCACGATCTATAACCTATGGCTTCTCCACGGGCGCTGGGGACGAGCGTGGTATTAACCGTTGCCTAATTATAATGTCTGCACAGTAGGTCTGGCGTTGACGCTTGGGATTTTGTTGAAATATATAAAACTTCACGGAGAATTGTCGCCTATGGCTTCTTGTTAATATTTCTGATGCTTATTATTGTTGTTATTATTATTTTTGTTGCAATTATTATTATTGTTAGTCTGTTATTTCTTGTTAAGTCCTTCTGTCATTTTTTATCTTAAGTTAATTTTGTCAGTGGGTTTAAAAGGACACCCGTTTTTTCCCTTGGCCTTTTACATGTAATATGCAATGAATGAAAAATGTGTGGCACAATGGCAGAGTGCTCAACTCGGAACCAAGAGGTCCCGGGTTGGAGTTCTGACATGCCACCGATCTTGTGCCCTTGGGAAAGGCACTTAACACGACTTTCCCCACTTAACTCAAATAAAAATGAGTATTGTCTGTCCTGTATTTGTTTCTATGTGTGGGACACAACACCAGCAACAACTGCCCATGTGTCGCACTGTTGCAATTTCAATAATTGAATAAATCAAATTAAATCATTGCACAAAAGGACGACCTGGAGAGCCTGGCGGACGAGCGGATGTCAGACCTGAACGCGCTGGACCTGGACAGCATCAACAGCCTGGCCGGCGACCTGGGACAGCAGAGCCTGCAGGACGACCCTCTGCGGAGTGTGAACATCTACCGCAACTACAACTTCAACCACACCTACAACCCCACCCTGCCCATCACTCAGTACCATGAGGAGGTAAGTTTAGCAACATGCTTCAGAGCTTCCAACATCATTGGAGCATTGGATTGTAAACCAGAGTGGGTTCATTCCTCAAACTAACTGACATCTATCATACTGCAGTCATCCTTCAGTAAGACTAAGACATCTGGAGCTGCATAGTTCCCGATAAAACGTGTCACTTCGGGAACTTGTGAAGTTGTGTCATTTAGCTTCTGATTAAAAGTTCTAAACAGAAACTATGCTGCTCCAGATGCCGTACTGAGGGGCGACTAATTAAAATGTGATACAGTAGATGTCGGTTAGCTTGATTAATGAATCCACTCTACTTTATATGGAGCACTGTAATGTCACATGTTACAAAGATTTTAAAATATTGCCCATAGTAAGAAGTACAGCAAAAGTCCACATTTTCTAAACATCTGCCAACATTCTTTTTTTTTCCTTTTTGTTTAAAAATATCTACCAACATTCTTTTTTTTTTCCTTTTTGTTTAAAAATATCAAGTTAGGTCAGAAGCAAAGACAGAAGAAACTAGTACTAAAAAGCTGCTTGTTGTCACATTGGGTGTTGTATGTATGGTTGCTCTGTTCCAGATAATTACGACTGTGGAGAGCAACAGTGTGACAGTCATACAGGGAGACACCGGCAGTGGGAAGACAACTCAGGTGCCACAGTACATCCTGGACCACTACGCGCGCAACAACAGGTAAGGCAAGCACAGGACAGGGAAGATCATGTTAGAAGTTAAGGCCACACCAATTTAATTTGTTGGTTCTCGGATTCGCCTCTTCGTTTTTTTCTGATTTGCAAAAAAAAAAAATTTGATTCTG